GTTTTCCTCACATTATCCCACACATTAACCCACATCCCATATGTTAAACTGGTGTCACTGGTAGCGAGGGGGAGATCCCAGATCCCTCGAGGTTCCCAGCGCCTGTTGTGCTGCAGAGCTGGGGGTGACGTGAGCTTTGCCTTTGCCTTCCCCTCCGTCCAGTGGCCTGCACCTTCAGCTGCATGATGAAATTCACCGTCAAGGATTGTGACCCGAACACGGGGGAGATGGACGACGAGGGTTACGAGGATGAGTACGTGGTAAGGAGCTAGGCTTGCATCTCATAACGGAAACTGCAGCTTCCATTTGTTTTTTTATTATTATTTTATTTGTTTATTTGACTCCTTTGTGCCCAATATCTTGCCTTGCAAGCAGTGCTGTGACCACTGACACTGCAGTGGACAGAACTGACTGGAGAGGGGTGTTTCCTACCGCCTCTATCATCTGTCCCAGTTCATTTTGTGTCATCTGGAGAACCCTCCCGCTGATGCTCTCCAGGCAGCTACCTGGCTGTGCAGGATATCCGTGTTCTGGGTGGCTGCAGCGTGTCCCCGCGCTGGGCTGGCAGTGCCTTAGCGGCTCCGGTGACGGCACAGTCCCTCCTGTGGAGGCAGAGGGCTTTTGGCCAGCCCTCCTTCTCCACTGGCTGCTCTGTGGTGGCACCGTTGCCTGCTGGCCCGGACGATGGAGGGAGTTCCCATCGCTGCTCTGGGGCAGGAGGAGCTGCTCCATGTGCTCCTCCAGAGCACTGATCCCAGGAAAGCGCCTCCCTTCCACGCTCTGCTGTTTCCAGGCAGGCTCATTTAGCATGGAGGAAGGAATTAAATTGTCGTTCAGAAAGGAAGACTGCCTCACAGAGGGTGGTGTTTACCCTCCAGAGAGGAAAAGGTGGTCTGACAACTCGAGCCGTGCCCTGTTAGCTCCAGGAGCTGTTTCTGCACATTGCCTGTCGCTGCTGGGAGCTTGGAGACACTGCTGTGCAGTGACTCCCCGAGGAGACGGCGTTTTCGCGGCAAGAGCAGGGAGGGTTTTTCCAAAGGACCCTGCAAGGTTAATCTCTTAATGTGCCTCCCGCCTCGCAGTCGCCAGGGCATTCAAGTGATGGTTAAACAAACTCTTCCATCTGTATCAACAAAATCAGGAGGAGATTCTTTCCTGCGGCGAGTGCTGAGATGATGATTGCAGGCTGGTGTCTGGTCAGCCCCGGCTCTCGCTGCTCTTAGATATGGGCACTGGAGGGACGAGGCCAGGTCTGCCTAGCACAGATGTCATCCTAGCAGCAGGTTGGCCAACACACAGCCTTACGAGGAGCAAATACCCACATAACCCATGACTAGCAGCCTGCAAAACCATGGGCCAGAAAGGCCAATAGGTACAAGCTTATGTGGGATCCAGGGGACATACAAATCTAAAGAGCTGCAGCTCTCCCTTAGGTTTTGGGTTGTCCTCTGCCTTGAACATTTGTCCCAAGCTTCGATCTTTTTCAGGCTAAAAAACTGCTCAGAATGGGACCCTGCTTTGTAAGTCCTGGAAATGAAAGAGCCAGTGGCTTTCCTAGGTCAAACGGTTGCTCCTCCACAAGTGGTGTTTGCTTGGGCAAGCTACAGCAGGGCAGGGCTTGCTTCGGCCTGTCCATGAGTGGAAATGGACTTCATCTACATCTGCCTGGCCGCAGGGAATGGAGTCTGAAGCTCCCTCTGGAGGGAGCAGGGTTGGGAACAGCCGTGTTTTACTTGAGCCTTTTCTCACCGTCAGCTCGAGGACCTGGAGGTAACTGTGGCTGATCACATCCAGAGAGTTCTGAAGCCAAACTTCGGAGCAGCCTGGGATGAAGTGGGGGATGAGTATGAAAAGGAAGAGACCTTCACTTTATCCTCCATTAAAACCCTGGAAGGTAAGGGGGGTTCTGGGCCCAGCAGAGCTCTCAACATTTCCACTAGGAGTCAAAGTACAGAGTTGGAGCTCGGATGTACTCGGGCTCAATGCAGATCTCTCACAGAAAGGCTAATGGAGCAAACCCCTTCACACTACAGCACTGAATGCAGAGCATCAGATTGCAAAATCCAAACTAGCTTTTTAAAAAAGTTTGAGTGTTTGGGGCCCTTTGGAGAGCTCCTGGTGGGAGGCAGGAGAACATTTTGCTTTCTCTTGCACTTGGGGGCAGGCACACCATAGCTCAGCTGTGAGCTCCCACTTCCTTTCTGTGCAAGGAGGAGATGCTGTGACCTTGGGATTCCAGATGAAGAATAAGCAAACGGCAAGAAAACATGAGCTTGGTGGGCAGGATCATCTTGTAAACCATCATCTTTGCCATCACATATCACAGATTCAGTTTGACCTTCCTGAGAAGCCTGTAAGAACTCAGCCCTGTGATGTGCGCAGACTTAAAAAGCTGTTCTTGTCCCGTAGCCTTCCTTGCACAGCACCTGGGGCTTGAAATACCTTTTCACCTTCTCCCCAAGGACCAGTCCCTCCTTCCTCGTGCCTCTGGCCCCGAATAACGGAGCTGTTTGTCCGGGCTGTGCAGGAAGTGCTGCTGTCTGAGTCATTCACCCTCCTGTTTCTGTTGCATGTTGCACCTGCAACTTTGCATCAGGTTCAGAATTGCCACATGTGAGGTTTCTTTTGATGTTGTTTTGGGTTTTTTTTTATGTTGCCTTTACATCCCTGGGGACCTCTGAAAACCCAATGCTGGGCAAGGGTGTCCGTGCCTCTCCGGACAAGGAACACGAACAAGGAAGCAGATCCTTAAATACTGTTGATATGTCCATGTCAAGGCAGCTCCAACTGACCCTGTGCTGTTTTTTTTTTTGAAAAACAGAGGCCGTCACCAATATCGTGAAGTTCCTGGGGATGCAGCCCTGTGAGCGATCAGATAAAGTGCCAGATAACAAGAACTCCCACACGCTGTACCTGGCAGGTGAGCTGTGGGGCGAGAGCTCTGCCCCACGCCCAGCTCCGTGGCAGGGTGCACAGAGCCGCTTGTCACACATCGGGGTAGAGGTTAGGGTTTAGCCCCCCTGAGCTCGGGGTGGGATTTAAAGCCTTGTCCCTGCCACGGGTTCTGTCCCTGCAGCTTCAGGGCAGCCGCTGTGGGGATGGGGGGACAGGGGGACATGTCTTCATGTTTGGTGCCACCCCGCTTTGGACTGAGCTCGTGGGGAAAGGGGCAGCAGCCTCGACAGGCTCAGTGTGTGACCTGCAGGTGAGTGGCTGGGTACTCAGCAACAGGAGGGCCTGGCTCTCAGCTGCAGCTTGTTTTAAATGTTGTCCCCTTGGGGTCTGCAGGAGCAAGAGTCCCAGCTCTGTCCCAACTTCTGACTGAGGAGCAAGGGCTGCAGAGGGGCCATAAAGCTCCTGCGGGAGCTCTGCACACCCTGCCCTTGCACAGCAGCCCTGCTCACGTTGCATGGGGGCTGCAGAGGGCCAGTAAAGCTCCTACCTCTGCCCCTGCCCTTGCAGAGCACCCCGCTCACGTGGCGCACCCCTCTCCGTCCCTCTGCCCTGCAGGTGTGTTCCGCGGAGGCCACGACCTGCTCGTCCGCGCCCGCCTCGTCCTCACCGACACCGTGACCATGCAGGTCACGGCGCGCAGCAGCCAGGAGCTCCCCGTGGACGTCATCATGGCCTGCGTGGGCTAGGAGCACCCCGGGGACCCGGGAGACCCCTGCTCGTGGTCTGCGTGGGCCAGGAGTTTCCCAGGGATCCTATTCGTGGGCTGGGTGGGCCCTGGGGCCCCTGGGGATTCTGCTCATGGGCCGCGTGGGCCAGGACTCCCCGGGGCTACCGCTCGTGGGCCGGGAGCTCCCCAGGGCTCCTGCTCGTGCCCTGCATGGGCCGGGTGCTCCCCGGGGACCCCGCTCGTGGGCCGGGAGCTCCCC